ATTTAGCTGTACAGACCCATGTTTACACAGTCTTTTTGCCTGCATTTTTATGACATCTGTGACCACCCCTACATTTTTTAGAGATAGAATCCTATTCACTTTGTAGGATCCGGACTTATAGGAAGAAAGATTTAACTATAGATTGTACCCTGTTTGGTTTAGAAGTCAGGTTTATCCCTCTGGTTGGCCTCTTTGGCGTTACACGGGATTTTAAATACTTGGTAGAAGTTTGGCTTTTTTCTCATTGGGCAGGATGTAGGCCTCTGAGAGGGTACCTTGTATGTTGTTGTGTGTTGTTTAGGTGTGTGTCATAGTCGTTGTTAATAAAAATGTGTTTTAGCCATTGTGCCTCATTTATTACTCTATCGCCAAAGCTGTGACTGTGAGAATAAAAAATAAGGTGCCTTTAATTGTACCAGCCACTCACGTATATTCTTGGCATGATCTCTAAAATTTGTGGATTATGATTATTGATTTTACCTATTGATTATCCTGCTCACTATTTTCTGTAGTTTTCAATTTTCTTAACCCCCTACTGGAAACAATACAAAAGGAAGACCACTTCACATGGAGAGGCAAGAGACTATTTATGAAAAAGACATAGACAATGTGAGAAGGAATTTTAAAAGGCAAACAAAATATACAGATGAAGGTGTAGAATATAAATAAAGGGATGCTTTGGTAGAATTGTAAGATGTAAACATAAATTAGAATAGTGAGTACAATGAAGGTCACCCCTTTAAATGAGTGATTTACTCCATAGAAGAGCAACAAGATACATTCCAGATCTTAACGTAAGGTCCTACTGGATACTGGCAGACTGAAAGAGAGAATAGTTTGCGAATTTCAGAGAAGATTATGAGGGGAGCTGATCCAAATATTAAAAATCCTCAAAGGCATGGACAAAGTCACTCTAGTGGATTTCCTCAGAATAAATAGGGAAGCTCGAACCAGAGGATATAAAAGGAAAGTACTGTTTGTGGAAGCCAATTTACTGTAGTAGCTTGACATCTTTAATGAAACAGTTGGATGAGATCCTCCTGGATCAATTAGCAACTTACTACTAAATGAACTTCCTGTAGTTAGGCAGACTGGAATTCTCTCACTTAAGCTTTTCAATGTTCTTAAATTACAAACAGGAAGAGTACATACAGTGAAGAATAATAAAAGAATAATAAATAGCCAAGTCTTATTTAGGAACAAGTAATACAGTAGGTTTATTCAATGCTGAAAAGAGAAAACACGACGTGTGACACCTGAAGAAGGCTCCACAGCCAAAACGTTGTGTTTTCTTTATTCTCTTTTCAGCATGGAATAAACCTATTACCTGTTCCTTTGCAGCCTACAAATGCTGACGGAGCTCCCCACCTGAACTACTTCAAGTCTTGTTAAGTCTTTCAAAATCATTTTCGTTCAGTCAAGTGTAAAATGTTGTTTTTGAACATTTTGAAATGCGGAAATCCCTAGTATTCTTAAGAACATGCTATATCTAAAATAGGAGGTAAGATGTAATCAAATAAATGAATCCCATTTATTTTTAGGTGTTTTGCCACCACATTTAAGAAACATTTTCAGTTATTTGTCATTTCTCTTTGCATGAAACGCACTGGTGTGTTTTCTTGTTTTCTTAGACATCTCCAGCATTATTAAAAATATAAGAAACTAATTGCTCTGAAATAAAAATAGATGTTGACATTCAAAGCTCATGCCTATAGGGAACAAGAAGTGGAGTATTGCTCTGCATCAATATGATTAAAACTCTTTATATCAGTCAGTAAATGACTTCGTTATTTCCCTTGATCACTTGCCAACACATTATTTATTATAGAGAATATATAGATGAGACCAGACTTATCAATACAGACAGGGGGTCGTCAGTGGAGCAGCTCTGTAATGCAGGTTTGCTTGTACATCCCTATCCCAGTTAGAATCTGTCTCTTTGCATTATTTACGTCTTTAATACAGTGATAATCTGATTGTTATGTAACTGGATTTTTCTGGTCCTTTTGTGATAGACATTCTCATAAATTTCATCATAAATGATGAAACTGTTTCTTGTTTTTGGTTGCTGTCAAGCAATACAGTGGGACATTTTCAGTATAACATGCAGTAGGTGATTACCTTAGCCTTTTACATTTTTCCTTTCCTTTACTCCCACTGTACGATGAATTCTAAATTGCAATGTATTGGGAGGCATAATGGAAAGCTCAGTGGAATCCGACTAGAGAAAATTAAGGTGGGCTGCTGTGAAAAACAGAAGTAATCTGGAACTTGCTAAAACCCATTTTCATATGTTCTCCTGACCTTCACTGCTTCACATTGCTGCACTTATGTTTTAATGATGCACTTATACATTACACAGCTTTGTACAACTTTAAGAAATTGTGACCATTATAAGACCATTAATTTCATGATTTGTTTTCAGTCTGGAATTCCCATTGACACTCAGGTGTCTGTTTGAAAGGAGACCCGGAGTGGGTCTTTTATGCAAGAAGAGTAAGATGACTCTTAAGCAAGACCATGTTTATGAGAGTAGTTTGGATGTAGCTCTTAATAGCAAGTTTAAAGTGCCATGGGAACTTTCATGACCATTATGGGCACAGAGAGTTTCCTGTCTTGTACAAAAGATGGCACCTCTTGCCACAGTCTAGTGATTTATCTTGGAGTTTCAGCTCCAGAGGGAACAGTGTCAACCAGCCATCCACCAAAATCAGGAAACAGCCTACTTTTCATTAGATTCCTCCTGCCCATTTATCAGTCTAGCGTAGTTTATGAGATTAAGAGAAATCATGGTTCAAGAAACAATGATTGTAAGTCTATGATCAGAAGGGATCATGAGGGAAGCCTTCAGCTTGGACTGGCTCATGCTTGTGCTTACTGGAGTTAACTATTTGTATGATCATTTAAAATGATCTTTATTGCTGGTGTCATATTTAGGCTCTTATTTATTTTTTTCTGCGTATATTTAATTCTAAAGATATTTAACTGAGTGCTTCTACTGAAGTCACATCTCATATACATAACACTAAATTGCTTTTGAGTCCTCTAAAGTGACAAACTGACTCATCTAAAAGGAGATCAAAGAAGCTAGACTTGGGATTTTCAAACAGTTTCAAACAGTATATCTCAACCTGGAGAATGATTCTGGTAAAAATCAGAAGTTTGTGTCCTGGTCACTATTTTTGCTGATCATTACTTTTGAAATGGCCTGAACAGAAGTGTTTTCTATTGGTAGACAATTTTCAATTAACTGCAGATGAAGACTGAAATGCCATCCTGTTGTGGAGATTTCAAAAAAGAGGGGCTGGAATAAGGAACAGGTGTAAACAATGGGGGAAACGAGGAAGGGCTGGAGCGCCCTTAAGAGGGGGAGTAGCGATCGTGACAGCACTGTCCTTCGGATGAGACGTAAACTGAGGTCCTGACTTTGTGTGGTCTTTAAAAATCCCAGGGCATTTCTCGAAAAGAGTAGGGGTGTAACCCCGGCGTCCTGGCCAAACTTCCCTGCCTTTTATCAATCATAGCCTCCTAATAATCCCCATCTATGAATTGGCTTCTCTGTTCTCCTCCCCACTAAGAGCTGGTGTGTGGTGAGCGTTCTGGCGCACTATGGCTGCTGTTGCATCATCCAGGTGGGGCTGCACATTGATGGTGGTGGAGGGGAGCCCCCATTACCTGTAAAGCGCTTTGAGTGGAGTGTCCAGAAAAGTGCTATATAAGTGTAAGCAATTATTATTCTTGCAGATAGAATTGCAAACTAAATTAGACTAACTTTGTTGTCCACTAAAAGTGAATTTGTGTCTTAGGTTCTCCATTTACAAATAACATACAATTCATCAACAAACATTAAAGAAGAACAACACGTCAGATCTGTAAAAGCATAAATTTACAGATAAAATCAAACTCATCATAATGCAAATACCAAATCTAGAAATAGGTGAAAAATATTAACAATCACAAACATTTCCAGAGTTATTTCATGTATTTCATGTCTTTCCAGGTCATCATCTTTTTAATGTTAATTTCAGAGAGTTGGGCACAAATGTTGCTCAGGTGCAATAAGACCATTGTGACTGGAAGTCAAGTCCTTAAGAGCAGCAGTGCAGCAGGAGTTTTAGATCACATTAAATCATCAACAGCACAATGCCTCAGGAAAGTGTTACAGTACCTCAGTGAGGATTTAAATGCACTAATTTAACCTTCCTGCACAGGCTTGAAGATTTTGTTGGTTTAAGGAGGCCTTACGAAACCTACTCCAATGTTTCTTTGGAAAAATTGAGTTTTAAACAAAAACCTGGGAGGAAATTAAACTTTAATATCACTGTCCCTATGGACAGGCTGTCATTTTATTCAGCCAGGTGAGTTACTCCACGAAAGCTCAGTATTTGACTCACAGCTCTTATCCATCTTAATTGGTGTTTGACTGAACCACTGAATTGCAACAGGAAAGCCTTGGTCTAGTGCACTTACAGTACCAGGTACACATGTTGTAAATTCCTGCTCCAGTGTTGCGTCAGCATCCTTGACTTTTTATTGAATGTGCACATGTGAATATCCATATTCCCATGCAGACTAACTGACTTGCAGTCGGAGCAAATGTCAAATTCACAATTCAGTAAATGAGTCAGAATTAGTAAAAACAGGTGAAATGTTAGTAGTGAATCCAGATCCTGTCAATAGGAGAGCACATTTAACTGCCAATAATTAGAAAATATACTGTATATTTTTGTATTAAGCATATGTGCTCCAAACTGTTTATAACATAGCTCATCTCAAAAGTTAAAAACTACAAGTTAAACAAGCAAATTATGTGTAATGCAATTTCCATGAATTTTCTATACATGTGCATATTTCAACATAAAGGTTGGCTCCAAATTTCTACAATAATTGATTACACTGATTGGAAAACTGTTTACCAAAGCCACTGGATAATGTTTTTGTAAACTCGCATACCTAAGAAAGCAGTCAGTTAAAAACGGGCACTGTAATGCAGGCAGTACCTTGATGAGGAGATATACAGGCTTGAAGTTCTGTTGTAGACAATTTGGATCAAAACCCGTCTCATTAGTCCTCAGAAAATGTGGCTTCAGAACGTATCCACAACCTCCGTTGTCCTGGAACTTTCCGTTGTTCAAATCCATCGGCAGTCCCAGGGACTGGAAGTTCAGTGCCACTGCAAAGAAAAGAATGAACACATCAAGCTGAGTGCCTTTGACAACATTTTGCTAGGAAATCGGTTTCTTAAAAGCACTGTCTGTCTTTCTTTTAAAATACCAAAAAAGGTTCAACTTCATATTTTACAAGTTGAACAAAATATCTGTTGCACTGCAGAAATGGATATTATATCTTCTATGTACTGTATCTGTAGTTCACATCAGGTTAACATATAGTATGCTTTTACATATAAAAAGAAATGTATAAATTGTATTGTTTTCCCATGATCATTAGTACTTATTGGTGTTTTGTTTTAGTCATAACAGAAGTGATTATTCCAAACGTATTTTTTAAATTCCTAAGTTCTTTTCATTTAATAATAGTACTGATATTTTGAACCAGGTGTACTCATGCCGATTCCTATTAGATGCATTGCGTATTTTCATTATAGCTGTAAAGGCTGGAAAGGTACTTCTGCATCTACTGTATGGGTTATTGGGTGATCAGGCATGTGAACCTTTATCTCAATCCTCTTGGCTTTTCCTGGCCAAAGGACGAGGAGGGCAGGGTCACCATGCAGAGTGAGGAGATAACTAAGGGGCAGCTTTAGAGGTGGAGATGGGAAATGTTACGAAGCATTCTTTCAGGACCCTATGCAGAGGCCACAATCCGGAAGGGAGGGAGACGAGGAACTGGGCTGGTAGAGGAACCAGGGGAACGCGTGACGAAGGTGCTCCGGTGGGCATGGTTCAGGCAAACAGTCCAAAAGGGAGTCCAGTGCAGGTGAAGGTTCAGAGCCGGGTGATAAATCCAAGACGAACCAAACAAAGTTAAAAGCAAAGAAGCGGAATCCGGCGAAGAGTCGGGGGGAAGAAAGGGGGGACCGGAACCAGGCGCTCCAAGTCCCTGACTCGGCTGGTTCAGGAAACTAATGCAGAGCCCGGAACAGAGTGAGCATCTGGCTTTTGTAGGGAGGCAGGAATGGGGAGCAGGTGCACAAAATCAATTAAAAAGTGAACGAGCCGGACCGCCCTTAAGGGAAAGGGACTACAATCGTGACAGGAAGAAGAAGTGATGCAGGAAAACAAACATGAGCAAAAGAGTGGCTTACAATGGTCCTGATAGTTCTTTCAGAAAGTGAGGCCATGGAGAATTCTGAGCTTGAGTAACAAAGTTGAGGAAGAGTTTAGTTGCTATCATTCCAGAGGAACTTTTGTTAAAAACTAAAGGCAATGACCAAGAGTTTGACTCTCCATTAATTACATCTTACTATGGAAAAACACAGTACAGTGGATATTGATGCACAGCGAAATCATAACAGAGCTATGATAAGGCATAATAAGCAGTTAACCTATGAGACAACAGTCAAAATATGATTCCTAACTTGTGCTCAATCTTAAAATAACTGCATGGCACACTACTGGCTAATGTATCACAGCCCAATACACAAGTAATATATCAGAAACTCTTTCACAATTTGTCAACAGTTTTTCTTTTCCATTTTAAAAACAGGTAGAGCATTGTAAGTAGAGTACAGAATACATGACACAATATTCAGTTAATATTTTGTTAAATATACGTATAATAAAATGCAGTTTTTTCACATTGTTGAGAGACCTGGGGCACCTCAAAGTCCACTGTAAGATTATTTGTCCTTTTCATAAACTACTCCAACTGAATCTAACAGGAAATGACAGAAGGACAGAGAAAGTTTTCCTATGAAAAAAGACACTACAAGAATTGTCCAAATGTCACAGTTGTGTCACATTAAAACACTGTGCAGTTATCAGAGTGGAATTTCAAAGTATTTAGACATCCCAATAACTTACTAAAAACAATCCAAGAAAGATTTTACGGGGGAAAAAAAAGCTTGTTGTTAACATTAACATTATTGTTAACATTAACATTGCTGCTCTTTTCTGCTAATGTTGTAAGAAAACATTTTAGCATAAACCAAACCACAGCCTTCCAATGTTAGGAATCATTGCTGTAACCTTTAGTGTTCGATGAGTAGGACTGGCAGAGCAAGAGCTACAGTATGATGAACAGCTGCTTTGGTTATGGCTGTAAGCCAAGCCTGGGAGGCACCAGGGAGGTACTGTCTGTTGTATTAGGGGTTAGTGTAGCTTGGCACAGCATGTAGCACTGAGCCTCACAGGCAGAAGAGAACAGAGAGAGGTGATAAGTGCCTTTTTTCACATGCTCTGGAGGCTGGCATAGTTCGTTTACTCCCAGTTGATCCCTCGCCAGCCCTATTGTACAGTATATTTGCAGCAGGATGTCTGTGCCTGCTGTTTAGTGTCTTTATCACGGCAGTAGTGCTGTGTAGTCCTGCTCTATTACAGGGATGATCACATGGGCCACGCAGCACATTTAGAGTCTATTGAAAACCTCTTAAGTGGGTGTGACAGGAGAAATGCTCTTTGACTGCTCACAGATTTAATTTGCACATTTACTATAGTCATGTCCAGTGAGAGTAGGAGCAGCAGAATTGGACTCGGAACACTTCTGCACTGCAATAACACATTTAAAAGAGCCTAGAATCAATTCAATTACAAATACCTCTACAATTCTCAACATCCAATTATCGACACTTCTGATTTTAGTATTGCAGTAATCGCATAAGAAAGAAGAAATGGATCATAATTTTTTTCCACTCACATTGTCTGTTATAGCACATATGAAGAGCACTAAATACCTCCTATCCTTGTGTTACTTTCGCACAATCTGTAAATAGTATTGTAAATTGCAATTATGTAATTTATTGTATCCTATTATTTTTTCTTTCCTTAAATCTAATCCCTCTAAATTCCTGTCCTTCTACTCTTCTGTCCCTCTTAATGAGCTCACGGACAAAGCATTTCATTGCCGACAACACCGCTGTATGCTAGACTGTTCGTACATTGATCAATAAATCCTTGATTGATTGATTGTTTGCTGTTAGAAACAGTAGCAGAGAACCCGTTCCTGGATTCAGATCCAGACTGTCAAACAGTGGCTCTACTGTATGTCTTTGTCCTGAAGTGGCTGTCTGTTTTGCTAGCAACATTGCCCACCTTGTAACCTCAGAAGCAAAGCAAGGTTGGGGCTGGTCAGTAGTGGAGAGTCATCAGAACGAAACCAGTTTGCAGCTCCAAGTGGTATGCAATGGCCAGTACCCTTTGTTGCCCTGGTATCCTGGGTAAATTCCACTTTACCCATATACAACAATACGGTCTTCTTAAAACTGCTATCTACTGTAATTCAATTGATGAAGGAAAAACTTTCTCCCTTCTCTACCTGACTTATTAAGTAGTGGATTTACTGATGCATAATGGCTACCATGTGCCACCCATTTGGGTGTTGCCCTTCAGTGGTGGCTGAAGAAGGTCCTTTCCTCTACAGTATGTAAAACATTTTGGGATCCTGTGGGATAAAAAAGCTCTACAAAAATAATGAATTCTTAATTATGACTTAGTTCACCAAAAATAATAGTATCCTCCAACCAGATTTCCAAAGCCATCACCAGTTCCATTTAGTGCCTTCTATCAATACTGTACCTGTATGTACTGTAGTAAGTCTGGAATGAAAAGGTAATACCAGGTGAGAAGCACAGCCTAGTGTCTAATTTCTCATAATTATAAGATTTTTTGCCTTTTCTATTCTGTATTTTTAAGAATACATCATGGTACTAGAAAGCACCAGTAGGACTGTATTAATGAAGCACACCATAATGGGATTCAACGCCTTTTATATAGCATAATCTAAGTTAGATCTTCAGCTTTCTAGCTGCTGTAATGGCACCCCTCAGCTACATGCACAGCATAGCACTGTACACAGTCTGCATACTAACTCACTGGAATAGAGTACAACTGGCAAAAAAACAGACCATACTGGGACAGCACAAGAGATGAGGGACAAGAACAGCAAAATACACTTCAATTCAGTTCAGGTTTTATTATCCTCTGGGGGAAATTAATGTTACGGCGCAGTCCAATACAACAATACAGCAAGAAAGACAAACACTACCAATAGGGAAGATGGTCCAGTAGTGTTACAGGAGATAAGAAAGTTACTTTTACAGTAGTTTGGCAGAAATATTGCAGTGGTGATGAAAGAGATCCTGAGCTAATTACTTTTACACCTGGGGACACAGAAGCAACTCACAGATAGGTGGAATGTAAATTCACAATCGAGGGGGTGAGCCACACACTTGATCATTCTCTTTACAACCCTTTGCTGGTAGAGGCTATTTAAGTTGATCTGATAGACCCCCGATTATTTTTGCTTCTTATTTTTAGATCCTTTATTTTCAAGACATTTGACTTCAAAGACAAGTCATCACACCATTTAATAAAATCTTTAAAACTGGGCCCATGACCGGATCCTTTAAAAAGCTGACCAGTGTCGGCTGGCCTGTGTCAGCAGGCCTTGATGAGATGTTTGTGTGTCTGCTCTCAAGATACAGCCCTGTGTCGATCCAGTGGAAGTGTAGTGTCTGATACTATAACTATTTCCCCAGTTTGACCTGTTTGTTAAGAAGAATAGGACCCATTGTTTTAAGTTACTGTTTCAATTGATGCTCTTTGAGAGTTACTGTGCAACAAACAGTGGGTGTATTATATTAAATGTCGAGGAAAAATCAACATGATTCTTATAAATACCTTTGCTTGGTCAAGATGCTGAAAGAACAGATTTAACATTGCCGGTATTGCTTCGACAATTCCCCTTCAATCTCTGAATGCAAACTGTAGGACTTCAATATGATTCTGTGTGCTTTTTGTGATGTGTTGCTTTCCTGTTCTCTCCGTTTTTTCATTGGGAGAGATGGGAGAGTGACTGCCCTGTAGCGGTCAAGCTCATTTGGCCTGGCAGTTTTGGTACACATTTCCAATTAGAATTCAAAGGCACATTCCTGTTACAGTATATCCACATTCCTTAGCATTGAACTGTCAGATGACAACCATACCATACTGACAAATATGACCATTTCTGATTATAATGCTGCTCAAGCAGAGTAAATACACACTGTCATTCAAAGTCTTTATTTTTTTATTTTCCAAGTAGATCTGGCCTTTCCATAATCTTTTGTTTTGCATGCTAGGGAATAGCACACCATTTCTAATTTCTAATCGATGCATTCAATGGGAAATTATGTCACACAACTGATTGAGTTTGATAGTTGCTAATTATACATTAGCTAGATGTGC